TCTTTCTTTTTCGTCACCCTGATCATTATCATTCAGAAATGAAAAACTACATCCAACCACCTCCACTTCTCCATTTTTTCCTTCTTTGAAAGCCGACCTTTTCATTTCTTTTTTTTTTTCCCTTTCTTCTTTCTTCCTTTACCCACGGGACCAAAACAGAAAAATGCAGATGATTCCTATGTCTCACATCTTGGTTGGAGAGTGTTCGTCCAACTTGTTTTCATTTTTCCTCTTTCATTGTTTCTCTGTTTTTCCTTCTAACTGACTAACTGATAACGTCTAATTCTAATTCTATTCTAACAAGACCTAAACTCCTAAACTAAGCCCTAGGGTTTTTGACGTCGCGCCGTTGTTTCTCCAAACCCCTCAGGCAACGAAATGGTAAGGCGGCTCTTCACCACCAAGTTATTTCTGTCTTCTCGATGATGATTGTTACTGATACACATATATGCAGATGCTGCATTCTAATTTCCAATCTTTCGTTTGGTTTTGAAAAAAACGCCATATCTCTGACATTTTGAGTTCTTTGTGTTGTCATTGATGGATGCTTTTTTTTTGTTTTGAAGGCTCCAAAGAGAGGTGCGAGGGCTCCAGCTGCAGTGGCGAGGAGGAAAATCGAGAAGGTGGCGAATCCTCTGTTCGAGAAGCGTCCGAAGCAGTTTGGAATTCGAGGAGCCCTCCCACCGAAGAAGGATCTCACCAGGTTCATCAAATGGCCTCTCAATGTCCGGATCCAGAGGAAGAAGAGGATCCTCAGGCAGTGCTTGAAGGTTCCTCCGACGCTCAACCAGTTCTCCAAGACTCGACAAAAATCTTGGTCGCCTCTCCCTCACTCGCTTTTTATTTATTATGCTGTTTCCCCTTTTTCTTAATGTTATACGATGATTTTTATCGGGACTCTAAGTTGTTCACCTTGATTGCACCATCTTGACAACCCTGGTCTGGTATTTGACTGCTGTAAAGAAAAATCCAGTTATTTTCTTGACATAAATCTGTGCTTTCTCGCATATTGATCACCTATTGCACTTGTAATCATACTTCAAATGCTTACTCATTCTTATTCCCCCCCTTTCTCTCTGATGATTGCGTAGAATAGGATCCCATGGTTGAGCAGGGCAAACGGTGTTGCTGTAACTAAATAGGAAATGAAATCTTTATGTAAATTTAAAAATCATTCTTTTATGGTTCTTAGCCAACTGGATATGCCAGATGTGGTAAATAGAAAGAAATTGAGGTTGCTCGGATCATAATATTTGTACATGGTAATTGTACATCATCTTCCCCTATAATCTCTTGGATGACTAGAAACTGAGTCGTAATGTGTCGCTCTATCTGTTGTCATGAAATTGGTAAAAGCTAATAATTTGCTGTGGTAGATTTAAGGGAGTCTCTAAATTTGTCCCTATCTTAATAATACCAGTCAAGGAGATATCCTGTTTCCTTTCGGGGTTGCCATTTCACTGCTTCATTTTTTCTCTTGCCAATGTATGTATTTTCTGATGCTTCCATTGATATGCAGCAACAAATCTATTCAAGATGCTTCTCAAGTACAGGCCTGAGGACAAGGCAGCCAAAAAAGAGCGTCTTCTCAAGACAGCTCAAGCTGAGGCTAAAGGGAAAGCTTCTGATGCTAAGAAGCCAATCGTTGTCAAATACAGTTTACAGCATGTGACGTGCCTTGTTGAGCAGGTCTTTATCGTACTTTTCTTCTATATTTTGTTCGTTTTCTGTAGTGTCTCACTCTTGGTAGTACAAGCTGTGGCTCATAGAAATTATTTTCTGCTGAACAAGGCACAATTGTTGCTCACGATGTGGAACCAATCGAGTTGGTTGTTTGGCTTCCTGCTTTGTGCAGGAAGATGGAAATTCCCTATTGTATTGTGAAGGGAAAATCGCGATTGGGAGTGGTAAGTTTCCTTCTTTGTGGAGCCTTTTTGGACGCTTTTATTGTAGCCAGGACTGATGTAATTGACACTCTCTCGCAGATTGTTCATAAGAAAACTACATCGGTCTTGTGCCTGACCTCAGTGAAGAATGAAGATAAGTTGGAGTTCTCAAAAGTTTTGGAGGCCATTAAGGTGATACATAATTTCCTACAGGTTGTACAGGTAATGATATTGTGATTCAACTTAAGGTGACATAGCTATAACAAAATATGTGTTATACACTAATATGTATTATTACCTTTTAAGATGGCTTTTCTTTCCACCTCATTTATCACACACATTCAATAGATGATTTTACCTTTTCTTAATCTCTTTTTTCCAATTTACCTAATTCAATATGTATTGTCAGGTTCTCTATACTGAGCCGATGAATATTATGATTTGTTATCTAACATTCAGCAGTTAGTTAAGGTACTTTCTGTCATACTTTCTGTTCTTTAATAGTTATCAAGAAATTGTGGGCCTTTTACAATATGTATGTGTTTTGTTTGTCCAGTGCAGCTATGTATTATCAGGAATTTGTATTTAATTATATGCTTTTGGTATTATGTTAAATATGTTCTAAGTGATACGAAATAGGACTCTACTTCTTCTAAATTTTCAAGTCTCAACTTGTGCACTGATTATTAAAACCATTGACATTCATGTATTTGCTAATACTTGGGTGTTCGATTTTTGTTTGCCAAGTTCCATATCTGTTAATTTCAATGAATTCATTTGAATGAAGACAATAAATAATGCTTTGCATTTGATGCTTGCAAATAATCAGTGGTTCATTCCACTGGGGCAAATCTTGCTTTATTTTTTTTAATCTTTAATCCCTTTTTAAAAACTAGAAGTGAGATTTTTTGTCCGTCATAGGTTTCTCTCAATTTGTAAACCTTCCAATATATAAGTTGTTGACTGGAATTGTTTACAGCCTAGAGGGGCTTGACTTTTGATGATAATTTCATGGGATGCTTGACTTCAAAAAATTAATGATAAATCTCATTTTGTGCTTGTGAAATGAATGGTGGAATTTTCTCTTTCTATGAGGCAGAAGTGTTGTTTGGATTTAAGCATTTTTCTTCTACTATTTTCTTTAATATGCTTTTAGTACTTCTGGTAATAAAAGAGTTTCACTCATTTGCACTTTACATGGTGAGGTATTGTTATTTTTTCTGGTGGTGACTTTCTTTTAATTTGCAAAAGATTTTTCACAATTCACCTTGAGAATGAAAATTGTGATTCAACTTAAGGTGACATAGCTATAACAAAATAAATGTGCTTAAGAATAAAATGAGCTAAGGCTCGCAAAGAATCATAGTCTTGAGTTTTTATCAAATAAAAAAGGTCAAATCATTTCTAATGAAACTATTGCATTACTTTGGCATTGATTGTAAACTATGGAAACATTTTGTTTTATTATTGGTTATGCATGCAAGTATTTTGTGTAATTTTCTAACTGAAGGGGGAGAATTAGGAAGCATTAAGGAGAAAGCTCAGTGATTTGCTTGTCTTTATCTTCTACTACTATGCCTGTGATTGTGGTAAATAAGCTAGCTAGCTATCGTGGTAAAGTTTGCTATGCATTTTTTATTGTAAATTTTTTAAATTCTTTCTCCTGATCAAAAGTAGAAGATGAGAAGAAAAATAAGCAGCTTAAAAGAAAAACATGGAATTTCAGCCTAATTGAGTCATGTAAAATGGTCGTGAAAGGATGTTGTGCACGACACATGATTTTTTTGCATTGTAATTTCTTCTTCTTGCTTAGTACTTCTCTAACCTTTTGGATTTTTTGTGGGGTTTAGTAGTCTAATTTTTGTATATTAATTTGTATATATATGTTGTAGGTGCAAAAAATTGGAAATTTCTTCCAACATCAGATTCTGTAAAATTTTCCCCTTTAATAACGTGCATTCTATTTGGTTATCTTTTTAAAAAAATAAAAATTGGAAAGAATCTTAATTTTTTTTCGCAACTAAAAAGTATCAGAATGCATTTAACAAATTTGAGAAAGTTCTTTTATGATTTTTTCGTTTAAAAGATATTTTTGGGCTATCTAATCTGTTTATTGTTTGTGGTATTGCAAGTCCAAAAATTGGAACTTTGCTTTCATTCCCTTCATAAACCACTTTGTATAGGGTCTTCCGCGGTTTTTCCTCATCTCTTGTAATTCTTTCTTTTGTTTGCTTTGCTTAACTACTTTTTTTCCCTATATTTTCTTTACCCTGTTTATTTGTTTATTTCATGTTTCTATCTATTATTTTTCAGTGCCAAAATCGACAAGAAACTCTGCCTCCCACTCTTCCTCTTCCTCTCCTTTTTCTATAGAAAAATCCCCTGGCAAAACCCAAGGCCCGAGCTTCGATTCTTCTATTGTTGGCAAAGTTGAAAAGTACCAACCCATCTTATAGCTATCTCCCTCATCCAAGGCCACTATGATTTTTCTAATTCAATCCTTTTCTCTGCCTTCGTTGAGAACAATTAAGAATTACTCTTTTGTTAATTAATTAACATATATATAAAAGGGGGAATGCCATATCTCAAAAGAGGTGCTTGTGGTGGTGATGTGGTCAATGGTTATTGGCTAGAGAGTGTTAGTCCAAAATCTGTGCTCCTCACGTGAGTTTACTTTGGATTCCATTGTTCCTTCAAAAAAAAAAAGTGTCCTATGACAGATATTTACCACTGTTTTCATCTCACTTTCTCCGTCTCGGTCTCCCTCAGAGCTCAGACGAACACTCTTCCTCTCTTGCTCTCCCTCTCTCTCAAACGATGACCGAATCTATCATTCATCTACATGCTTTCTTTCTTCTTTGTTAATCAACAAAAAGAAGAAAACAAAGAAGGCACTTTGATGTTTTTGGGTTTAGTTTTTGTTTCTTTCTTTATTTTCTTGAATTTGCAGTTACTCACAATCACATTTTGCTTCTCATAGATTGAGGACAATGGATTGAAAGTCCACGAGAAGGAGAAAAAGAATCAACTTTTCAGGTTGTGCGATTTTCTTTAATTTATTTTTTCGGTTAAGATCCTTCCAGTTTGATTCAAGATGGGCTCTTGCCTTCGATGATGGCTTTGATCTCTGATAGGCTGCTTAGACATCCTAATACAGATGTCAGGATTTCAGTTATGTCTTGCATCTGTGAGGTGTTAAGGATTAGTTCTCCGCATCAACCTTATGAGAATGAAAGAATGAAGGTAAGCTGAACACCTGCAACAGTATTTACTCTTTTCTGTATTTGTTTGTCTGCTTCCTGTTGTATACTTGTTTAGAGCCAGTTCTCAGCCTTTTCATTTGCATGCTGTACAAGATATTTTTCGGTTCACTTTAGCTGCATTCAAGAAGTTGTCGCTTTTCTCTGGTCCCTGCTATGCTAAAGCTTTGCACATTCTTGAAATCGTTGCGAAGGTCAAATGCTGCATCATCTTGCTGGACATAGGCTGCGACTCATTGGTCACTAAAATCTTCGAAGTCCTTCTAAGTACCATTAAGTAAGGCTAAGATGTTACAGCTAATTTTTAATATGTATTTTTATTGTCAAGACATTTTGATTAACTGCCTTTTCTCTTTGGGTCTTGTAGTAATTGATATTTGTTTGCTTCTTTAAATTAACTCTAATACTAACAATTAAGGTTATCTTGAATTCGAACTTGTAATAGCATTGAATTCGAACTTGTAATAGCATTCCCATTATGTTCAACCTTCTTTCCTGCAAATATGATCTGCTTTCAACTTCGTGAACTCCTCATTTAGCAGCAATGAAATTGAAAATTTTGCTCGACTCATGGCAAGCCTTTATTATTTGTTGTTGAGTGATCAACTCATGGTATGCAATGCAACTAGCCTAACGGAGTAATTTAGAAAGTTGTACCAAATTAAACAAATTAGAGGTATTCATTTGCTAATCTTGCACCTGTCTCATGCAAGTCAACACATTCAATTGTCATGTGCTGATTGTTGTTCTGTGTTTGAATGTCTAATACAAGGTTCAACCACCCACAAGCTGTATTCTCATACATGGAAGATATTATGACTTGGCTTTTAGATGAGAGTGATGACATCCCATTGGGTCTTTTAAAGCCGATTCTAGCTAGTGTGCAAAAGGAAAACCAGGTACCCTTCCTTATATAGATCTCTGTTTCATTTATTCTTGTTCTTGTTTTATTATTACTCCATTACCTTTATTGTTTGCCTCAGATTACTTCACCCGTTTCCTCTTGGTTAGGAGAGAGTATTAAAGAACTGCTCAACTAAAGTCAGATCTTTTCTTATGAATGCAGTGAAGTTGATGAGGCTAGATATTAATGATTATGCCGATATAGTTGCTTCATTATGCCGAGAAATGCCAGCTGGGGACAATGTGGTGCTCATCTTCTTGTAAAATTTTTTACCTCTTTTTATATGTTAAACAAGCATGGCTAAGCTTTTTATTATATATTAATTGTACTTGTTTTACGAGAGCTTACAGTCAGTGGCAAAGGAAACTCTGAGTGTATGGAAAATCAGTCCCTGGGAATGGTCTTTGCGTATAGAATGCTCCAATTTTCGCCACTTAAGTGGGAAGTAGTGTGACTAATATATTTTAGTTGAATTAGAAAGTTGTTAGTATATGTTCCTTTTAAGTTTGCAACCTAGAGCTTGTCATGAGCAGCAAATTAGAGCTAAGGGAAAACCTGAAAGAAAGAAGAGAAATTAAGTAAACATTGTGTCTAATGAATTCCAGAAACACTAAAATGGCCTTTGTGCATAATTTGGTTTCATAGTTTTGTGAAAGAAATGGTGATTTTTCTTTGTATCAGGGCTGATATCTGCTCATTTGGAATCCACCACACTGGAGTTGGCTCATGGTCATGCACCATTCTCGAAATATCCCCCAATGAAGGTATGGACGTTATATGCAACAACACCAGATAACAATAATGAACTTGATGCAACATGTTCTTGAACTGTAGTTGTGCACTTAATGGAACTTCCTCGTTTTGGTAGGTTCCTTTGATGACCATACAAAATGCGCCTCCTGGACTTGATTATGACCGCGATAAAAAGTTCCCCAAGGCATGTCCTTTTTCTTCTAATAGTTGGCTACTGTGCTTAGATATAAACATTTTCTAGCACACCAAACTGGATCAATATTCTATCTGTTTGTTTCTACTTAGATATAAACTTTCTCTAGGACACCAAGTTAGATCCATATTCTAGCTGTTTGTTTCTATTTCGGCATTTCCTCATTCTTATGTTTTTTATTGCTAAAGCATTTCCTCAATTTCGAACAGTGTTTTAAAGAAATGGTTGCAATGTGCTTGGTGAAAGACTTGACAAAGAGGCTAACTGCAGAGAAACTATTGAAACATTCCTTTTTCAAGAATGCAAAGCCTCCAGAGCTTTCTGTGCAAAAAGTCTCTGCTGACTTACCTCCGTTGTGGAATCATGTTAAGGCAAATTTGAGTGTATGTCATTTTAATGTTACTGTTATGGAACTGCCAACCATCATTTTATTTTCTAATGATTTACCTACTAAAAAATTGCAGCTTAAGGATGCTGCACAACTAGCTTTGAAGAAAATGCCTTCAGCTAAACAGGAAGCATTATCACACGTCTAAGACATCAGAAGAATTTATTGGCTGTTTGATCTTTTATTTGTAACTTTCTGAATGTACATTAATTTTGTGCTCAATCTTAGTTTAGATAAATCTTAGTTTAGATAAATCTTAGTTTAGATATTAGTTCGATTATTTTTTGTAGGTATCATCTGGGACTTTTTCAGCAAAAAAAATGCAGATTTAGTACATTCATTCTCATTGTTACAGTTGTTTTTAGGAAAAAAAAAACGTCCCTCGTTTAATGATCCCTTCTCAAAATATAAACCTCTTGTTTCCTTCAACCGTTTTTCATTTTTGATACTTCTAAATGCTCTATCAATCATATGAATACTGATTAGTCAATTTATTTAATATAAAAAATGTGTACAACCTTATTATTTTAGTGATTTCGATATGGCCGCATCTTCTCTGTAGTTAATTTCTTATACGCAACCAAACAAGAGCATGCATGGGCAATTGGTAAATGTGATTTTTTCCCACCATTCTATACCTGAGAGGTCATTCTTTTTCTAGATCTTGGCAGTTAGTGTATCTATGAGGGTGGTTAGAACATCAAATGGAAAAGAAGTATGACTAATTAACATGTAATTACTTATTAAATTTGTTTATGACCAGGGGGCTCCTGTGCTTGTAGGTTCTGCAGTCACTTGTCTAATTAATCTAAGATCCTGTCATGACCTCCACTTAACATGCATTCACTCACTTATTGCCTATTGCATGTAGGTGTGCACTCACTTAAACTTGTGTTGAGCATCTTCTATCATCTGACATGTTGGCCTTGTGTTGAGATCTTTAGAAAGAAAACGATTTGGAGCAGTCTACTGCACTTTCTGGCATATGGTAGGATTTAATTTGCTCATATGTTTATCTGAATATAAATGGGATCAAGACAGTTTTAAATTCATAGTTAAAAAAGCTGTTGAAACAACGAAACTTTTTAGCATTGTAGAAAGCTTTGTACCTATTATTTTCCATTGCAACAGATGAAATCTTCCATTTCGTCCATGCAATAAGAGGAGAGGCATCTAATAATTTTTTTTATATTTAATATTTGAATTTGAATAATTGGGCATTTATGGGCAAGATTGAAAATTACACCGCGCGATCGCGGTGTTATTCTCCTAGTCATTGTAATGTAGCAATAGCATTTGCCGCTTACAACCTTTCAAAGTAGGATTTGGACATTTGAATACCCAATTTCAATCTTAAAGCGGGCCTGACGTTAGGCTTTCTCACAGATTTATGGACTACATCCACAGCTCGAGGCTAGCCCAACACTGGCGGATTAACAAGGCTTACCAATACCGTACAACTGATTACTTATACTGCTCCCGGACTCTCGTGCGGTTTGCCCACGCCAACTCGCTCCCGGTAATAAACGTAGGAGGAGGCAAATAAATATCTCTTTTACGCGTTCGTCTAATAATCAGCTAACACTCGTAATCATTTTGACTCGTATTACGCGTGCATTGAGAAAGCATGCATTTTCAAGGAATTTGCTCTTTTATTTCCTTAAATTTCATTTCATTTCCGCACCGTTTTCTTGGAACCGAACATGGCCTAAGAGTCTTAATCTCAGTTTGCTCCGCGTTCAAAGTTCAAACTACATAATACCAAAATTGATAATTGGCTGCCAAGTAAAAAAAAATTGATAATTGACCACGACTCAAAACCACAAACAATTCAAGTGGCTGACATGTGTTTACGTAGTAATTTTGAAGAATTAAGGTGTGACATGCTAATTTTTGTTTTATATATATATAAATAGAACAAAGAATCAAGTGGGGTTGATCAAATCCCTCTTTCTCTGAAGAAAAAATGGAGCGGCTAGTCAAAATGATACTGGTCCTTACCCTCATTTGCCTCCTCCTATCATCAGTAGGGGCACCAGGAGGCGGTGGCGAAGGAGGAGGAGGCGGGGAAGGAGGAGGAGGACGAGGTGGGGAAGGAGGCGAAGGAGGAGGAGGTGGCAGTGGTGGGGGAAGCCGGGGTGGTGGTGGTGGTGCAGAAGGTCCTGGGACAAACTTTAGAGGAACACCTGGAACAGCGGCTGGTGGTGATAGCAGCGGCTGCTCATCCACTCTGGCTCTTGTTGCATGGCCCTATCTGGCGTTATCTGCCATTGCTCAAGTTTCATATCTGCATCTACTCTGATATGCCTGAACGGATATACCAATTTCAATCGATTTAACGTCTGGAGTCAGTCTGTCTGTAATATAGAAATCAAGGAGATCATGATGCTGTGGTCAGATCAGTGATCATGGATTTCAGTCTACTCGTTATTACATACGTGTCTCGCATTGATTGGACGACTGGTCAGTTTATGATTTCATATACTATATATATATATAATTTTTATCCTTAATTTGTTGCTTGATTAATTCATGGAACTATATATGCAGTAATGATTTTTATCCTCTCAATTTGTTGGTTGATTCATGAAACCGGGTCACGGACTAACGTAGAACCAATAGAATATATAGTCGAACAAAATGGCCTTTGGGGACGAGGCTTCAATTAATTCACCCCGGCCCACCTGTTTAGCGAAGAAATTAGATCAAGATTAGGGGACTGGGGAAGTAATGGAAATGGTTTAAGGAGATGAGATGAAACGGACAGCATACAATTGCTTATCTACTAATGGTTTGAGTGAGTTGAAACTTGTTTTGTTCATTTTAATGAATTTAAAATTAGGCTAACATATTTACTAGCTTATTCATTTACTTATTGACTTGACTTCCGTCAAGCCTGATGAGTAAACCAACAAAGCCTTCAGGTCGATGAGTAAATTTTTAGGTTTTGTAGCTATTCCCTCATTTTCATGTCCCGAGCATTTTTTTTTTTTTTTTAAATTTTATCGAATCGTATGAAGTTTTATCCAACTCCATATCTGAAATACGTATGAGAAATAAACCAAACCAATTTGGCACTTTTTCAACAAACTTTTGGTAAATCAAGTTAATCGGAATATCAAGCACCTCGATTCATATTTTAGCTCTAGCAAGCAATTCTAAAAAAAAAAAATTTCGTAATTTTTTCAAATTATAAAATGATTAACTCCATTTTATACCCTCGAACTTGTATCAGTTTCTCATTTTGCACCTTAAATTCTATTTTTTAATGCACCATAAATTCTCAATTTTAGATAGTTTGTGTTCTCAGCTCTCAAAATTGTCCCATTTAACTCCAATCAATGGTAGCGTAGCAAAATCAACCATATACAAGATCCTACAAATCAATGACAATGCGTTAAAAGTGGTCAAAAGAAGCCAAGAGATCGCAGTTAGAATAAAACAATGCAATGCATTGTCATTAATTTGTGCTGCACAAATCAATGGAAGTCAACGTGCTGAAAATTGTTAGAATGAGTGAAGGGATTGCAGTTAGAATAAAATGGTACATTTTTATTAATATGCACCGTCTTTTATTTCGTTGATTATGCTAACCTTGTCACTTATTGGATTTAATAGGACTAGCTTGAGGATTTAGGATACAAAATGTCTAAAATTGAGAATTTGAAGTATCAAGCGTCTAAAATTAAAATTTGGGATGCACAGTGAAAAAGTGATAGAAGTTTAGAAATGCAAACAGGAGTTGGTCTACTATAAAAATTAGAATAAAAAACCTAGGGAGCCTTTATATTATTGCCCTTGTTTATTTTTGGTCCCTAATCCAAATTTTGTTTCCGATTGACCCTTGAACAATTAAAATTGCATACTTTAAGGATTTCCAGTGACGTTAGGCATAAATTTGGCCGGATTTAAAGGGCATTTTTGTCAATTCGTAATTGAAGTCTCGGGACCAACATAAAAAACCCTAAAAAGAGATAACCCTTCGACTTCGTAAGCACACTATTAGATTTTTCTTTACAAATCCTTTCAAAATTGAGTTTTACCCAAAAGATTTTGACAGTGAAGTTTTTAAATGATCTGAAAAAACACCATATTCGAGGCATGGTGCAAAGCTTTTTTCTCGTGGGTAAAACTCAATTTTCAAAGTTTTTGTAAAGAAAATCTAATGATGTGATTAAGAAATTAAAGGATTGACTTTTTTTAGGATTTTCGATGTCAACCTCGATGCTTCAGTTGTTAATGGACAAAAATGTCCTTTAAATCTGACCAAATTTATGTCTAAAATTATCAAAAGTCCTTAAAGTATGCTGTTTTAATTGTTTAAGGGTCAATCGAAAATAAAATTTAGATGATGAGCCAAAAATAGCCAACAACAATAGTTTAGAGCTTCCGAAGTTTCTTTACCCTAAAAATTAAAACCAAGCCGTTTCATTCAATGACTTTGGTGCAAAATTCAATCCAGGAAATCGATTACTGGATATTTGAATTTGATCGACTGCTGTCCTAAACTAAACTGCGCTTGAACTGGAGAATTCTTTTGCCAAATCAGCCCAACGAGCCGGACTTGGTAGTTAGTGAGCATAGTGACATCCGCAGCATTTTTGGCGGGGCCTGATACACGTGAACGGGGTTACGTAAGTTTAGGGGCTGCATGTGCGTGCATGGGGTTTGCATGGAGGGCCACAGCTGGGTTTTGTTGCAGTTAGTTACTGAAAGTTGTTACAGTTAGTTAGTACTGATTTGTAAGATTCTTATGACATCAGCAGATGTCATAAGTTTGTTAGCCGGTTATAAGCTCACCGTCTTAGCACTTATAAAAGGCGAAGATGGGCACCAGTAGAAGACAGACAAAATCTGGGAAATTTGTTATATCGGCACTTTCCATTTCTTCTGTAATCTTTCCTTCTTTATTCAAGTCAATAAAGTTCTCTTGGCTTTCGGATTACTTCTCCGCCAGTTTTTGTAATTCCTAAGTCAGAGATTGAGGACCTCTACTGTCCTTTGCATCAGTGGTATCAGAGCTGGGTTACGCCAGCTCCAATCATCGATGGCAGAGGGCACTAGGTCTCAGGATGTCAGGAAAATGGAGGAACAAGTCAGAGCTTTGCTGAAGGAGCAGCAGGAGCAATTTGAGAGGGAAATGGCGGCTCTGCGGAATTTGGTGATCGAGCTTCACACACAGAAGGCTCAGGGCGAGGGGAACAGCTCTCCTCACCATTCGGATACTCCAACAAGTAGCAGGGGAGGATATCAAGTTCCTTCGCGACTGTCACGTATTGACTTCCCGAAATTCAACGGGGAGGACTTCCGAGGATGGTTGTACAAGAGCGAGCAGTTTTTTGAAGTGGATGGCACTCCTGGCTCAGTCAAGGTCAAAATAGCGGCCATGAATTTGGAAGGTAAGGCTCTTCAATGGCACCAAATTTTCATGAAATCTAGGCTTACTCGTGAACCCCCTGTGTGGGAAGAATACGTAAGGGAGCTGTCCTCAAGGTTTGGCGATTCCCTGTACGACGATCCAATGGGCGAATTGAAGAGCTTGAAGCAGTCTGGGACAGTACAAGACTACCACGATCTGTTTGAAGAACTACTCAACAGAGTGGACCTCCCAGAAGATTACGCTACAAGTTGTTTTCTGAGCGGGTTGAAGCCCGAAATCCAGTTGACTGTACGGATGTTCATGCCTAAAAGTGTGCAACATGCCAGAATTCTGGCCAAGATCGAAGAAGCAAAGATATCAGTACAATCGAATGGAAAGGTGACACCCAAACCTTTCACGAATTATTATGATCGCACTGGTACCACACCAATCCATGTGAATGCTCTTAAGCCTAAATGGAAGACGGACTCTAAGGCAGTGCTGCCCCTGCCTACGTTTCCAGCACTCCCTAGCAATGAAAGACAAAAGGAGCTAGTTGTTAGGAGGCCTTTCAGGAAATTGAGTAGGGCAGAAATGGATGAAAAAAGGGCACGAGGACTTTGTTTCTGGTGCGATGAGAGGTTTACTGCTGGGCATAGGTGCGGGAGTAAGCAATTCCACCGACTGGAGGTTTGGGATGATGAATCAGATAAGGATGAGACGGAAACAGATGAGGAAGGGGGTACGGTCGATGAGGGACAGTTAGCTCATATTTCCCTCAATGCCATGACTAACATGACTGTTCCTAATTTCAGGACAATGAGGGTCACTGGGCATGTGGGAAGGCAGTCTGTGAACATTTTCATAGACTGTGGTAGCTCACATAATTTTATCCACCCCAAGGTTGCACAAAAGCTGGGATTAAGTACACGGCAGGTTGACCCCCTAATTGTAGAAGTAGCAGACGGAAACAAGTTGACTACTCGTGAACTCTGTTCAGGCTTCACCTGGAAAATGCAGGGGCAAGAGTTTAAGGCCGACTTGTTGGTACTACCTGTGGGTGGATGCGAAGTAGTATTGGGAATGCAGTGGTTAACCACCATTGGGGACGTGAAATGGAACTTTAGGGATCTCAGGATGGAGTTCTTGTCGGATGGCCACAAGGTGGTCTTGAGGGGAATGAAGCAACATGGGCTACAGTTGGTGAAACAGAGAAAAATGCAGAGGCTACTCCAAAAGCCTGAACAAATTGCAGGAGCTCAAATCTGCCTAATCAGGATGATCCAAGAGCCGGAGCCAGAACCATTACCTCTTTCTAGTATTGCTGTAGGAACCAGTGGTGAGCAGGTTAGTCAATCGTTGGGTCTGGATTCTTTGTTAAATGAATATGATGATTTGTTTCAAGAACCAAATGGCTTACCTCCTGAAAGATTGCATGATCATAGAATTGTTTTAAAAGAAGGTACGGAACCTATCAATGTAAGACCTTATAGGTATCCGGCCTTCCAGAAGGGAGAAATTGAAAAATTGATCGCTGAAATGCTTGTGTGTGGGCTCATCAGAGCTAGCTCTAGTCCATTCTCTTCACCAGTAGTTTTGGTGAAAAAGAAGGATGGGTCCTGGCGAATGTGTGTTGACTATAGGCAGCTAAACAATGCCACAATAAAGAATAAATTTCCCATTCCTTTAATAGAAGAGTTGTTGGATGAACTTTTTGGAGCTAAGTTCTTCACCAAATTAGATTTGAGGTCTGGTTATCACCAGATTAGAATGAAAACTGAAGATGTGGAGAAGACAGCCTTTAGAACTCACGATGGCCACTATGAGTTTCTAGTTATGCCCTTTGGGCTAACTAATGCTCCTTCAACATTTCAAGGTCTAATGAATGACATTTTTAGGCCATTCTTGCGGAAGTTTATTTTGGTTTTCTTTGATGACATTTTGGTATACAGTGGCGGTTGGGAGGAGCACCTGCAGCATCTGAGTGTGGTGTTTGAACTACTGAGAAGTCATGAACTGAAGGTAAAAAGAAGTAAATGTGCTTTTGCTCAGCAGCAAATTGACTATTTGGGGCATATTATCAATGCAGAAGGCGTCCAAGCTGATCCCAAGAAAACTGATGCCATTCGGAGTTGGCCACTGCCGCAGACAGTCAAGGAATTGAGAGGATTTCTGGGTCTCACTGGGTATTATAGGAGGTTCATACGAGATTATGGTAAAATTACAAAGCCTTTAACTGACTTGCTTAAAAAGAATCAGTTTCAGTGGCACGATGGAGCTACTCAAGCTTTTAAGAAGTTGCAGGAAGTTATGAGTAGCCCCCCTGTCCTAGCTCTGCCAGATTTTAGCCAGGAATTCATCGTGGAGACAGATGCATCTGGGAATGGGATTGGGGCGGTGTTAATGCAAAAAAGGAAACCGCTAGCTTTCTTCAGCAAGTCATTGGGGTCCAAGCATCAAGCTCTATCAGTATACGAAAAGGAAATGTTAGCCATAGTCACTGCCATTTTGAAGTGGAGAGCTTACTTGGTGGGAAGGCATTTCGTCATTAAAACGGACCATCAGAGCTTGAAGTACATTATTGAACAAAGGGTACATACACCACTGCAACAGAAATGGATAGCCAAGCTGATGGGGTATGACTATGAAATACAATATAAGAAGGGGAGTGACAACGTTGTGGCAGATGCATTATCCAGGCAACCTCAGGAGGGCAGTTCTCTATGTACCATGGTCACTATCACAACGTCCTTGATCAGGGACATACAGCAGAGTTGGCAACAGGATGCAGTAGTTCAGGACTTGATCCAGAGGTTAGCCAATAATGGTCCGTGCTCGAGCAACTACTCGTGGCACCAGGGAGTGTTAAAGAGGAAGGGAAAACTGGTGGTTGGCAATGACCCGTCTTTAAGGGGCAGATTGATTACCTTGTGGCATTCGAGCTCACAAGGGGGGCATTCTGGAATTGAGGTAACGTACAGGAGGCTTAAGCAGATCTTGTACTGGCCATTCATGTTCAAGGATGTGGCTCATTTTGTAGCAGCATGCGACATCTGCCAAAGAAATAAACCAGATAATGTAGCTTATCCGGGCTTATTACAACCTCTACCCATACCTCAGAGGATCTGGTCTGACATCTCTATGGATTTTATCGAAGGCTTACCTCTCTCACATGGCAAGAAGGTGATTTTCGTGGTGGTCGATAGGCTCAGTAAATATGCCCACTTCATGGCCGTAGCTCATCCTTACACAGCCATCTCCATTGCACAGCTCTTCATGGACCAGGTTTACAGGTTGCATGGTCTTCCCCAGACCATTGTTAGTGATCGAGACCCCATCTTTCTAAGCTCCTTTTGGCGAGAAATTTTCAGGTTGCAGCAGGTTCAATTGAACATGTCTTCTTCTTATCACCCTCAGAGCGACGGTCAGACAGAGGTAGTCAACAGATGTCTGGAGAACTATTTAAGATGTATGACGGGTGACCATCCCAGAGAATGGAGTTCGTGGTTGCCAATGGCAGAGTACTGGTATAACACAAATTTCCATTCTTCTGCTAAGTTCACTCCATATGAAATTGTCTATGGGCAGCCGGCCCCTCTTCACATTCCATACCTACCTGAGGCCACAGCATGTGCTTCCGTGGATAGGAGCTTACAAGCTAGGGAGAAGGTCATTCACTCCTTGAGACATAATCTGTCCAAGGCTCAACATCGAATGAAGCAGTTAGCTGATAAGCATAGGTCGGAGAGGGAACTTGCGGTTGGTGACTGGGTTTATGTGAAACTTCAGCCTTACAGACAGCATTCCCTACGTTCTCACCACTGTCAGAAGCTGTCACCTCGCTACTTTGGTCCATTTCAGGTGTTGGCAAGGATAGGAGCAGTGGCCTACAAGTTAGCTTTACCTTCGCATGCCCGTATCCATGACACATTCCATATCTCCTTGCTCAAAAAGAAGGTTGGCACAGGGGGCACTCAAGCTCAGATTCCCGCAGGAATTACACACCAAGGACAGATGTTGGCAGAGCCCATAGCTGTTCTTGACAGACGTCTGGTCAAGCGTGGGCGAGTTGCGGCTACACAGGTGCTGGTTCAATGGAGTAACAGCTTTCCCGAAGATGCAACTTGGGAGTACTTGCAGGACTTGCGGCTACAGTTCCCTCATTTCAATCCTTGAGGACAAGGATTGTTTTGAGAGGCGGGTATTGATACACGTGAACGGGGTTACGTAAGTTTAGGGGCTGCATGTGCGTGCATGGGGTTTGCATGGAGGGCCACAGCTGGGTTTTGTTGCAGTTAGTTACTGGATGATTGGAGCTGGCGTAACCCAGCTCTGATACCACTGATGCAAAGGACAGTAGATGTCCTCAATCTCTGACTTAGGAATTACAAAAACTGGCGGAGAAGTAATCCGAAAGCCAAGAGAACTTTATTGACTTGAATAAAGAAGGAAAGATTACAGAAGAAATGGAAAGTGCCGATATAACAAATTTCCCAGATTTTGTCTGTCTTCTACTGGTGCCCATCTTCGCCTTTTATAAGTGCTAAGACGGTGAGCTTATAACCGGCTAACAAACTTATGACATCTGCTGATGTCATAAGAATCTTACAAATCAGTACTAACTAACTGTAACAACTTTCAGTAACTAACTGCAACAAAACCCAGCTGTGGCCCTCCATGCAAACCCCATGCACGCACATGCAGCCCCTAAACTTACGTAACCCCGTTCACGTGTATCAGGCCCCATGTTTTACACTCAAGCTCCCCGTCGGACTATCCGAAGCTAACATCAACTAACTCTTCCTCGTCTTCTCCGTCGCGTCCTCCTCCTTTCCCATCACCAATTTCACTCATTTTCTTTTTGCTAAATCTACTCAGACATTTTCACAAATACATCGCCTTCATTCCCTGAATCACAAAATCGAACGTCCCATTTCTGAGAATTCATCGAGAAAATGGCATCCCTCTCATTCTCCTCATCACTGTCCACAACTTCCCAAATCCAACGTCTCTCGTCTCTGCCATTAAAGCCGCAGCAGGGCAAGCTTCAAAAGTCAGTAGTCCCGGCCATTCAATCCAAGATCCGGGAGATCTTCATGCCGGCTCTCAGCTCCACCATGACTGAGGGAAAAATTGTTTCCTGGGTTAAATCCGAGGGAGATGTCTTGTCCAAAGGCGAGTCCGTCGTGGTAGTCGAATCTGATAAAGCCGACATGGACGTCGAAACTTTTTATGATGGGATCTTGGCCGCCATTGTTGTTAATGAAGGCGAAACGGCTCCCGTGGGTGCCCCGATTGGTCTCTTGGCCGAGACGGAGGAAGAGATTGCTGAAGCTAAAGCTAAAGCCCAGTCAAAATCTCCATCCTCAGCTGCCCCTCCTGCTTCGTCAGCATCAAAAGCTGAAACTCCAGCTCCTCCTCCTCCTCCTCCTCCGGCGGATGGGCCGAGGAAGACTGTGGCGACGCCTTTTGCGAAGAAGTTGGCGAAGCAGCATAAGGTGGATATTGAAAAGGTAATTGGGACGGGACCGTATGGGCGGATTACGCCAGAGGATGTGGAGAAAGCTGCTGGAATTGCACCGGCCAAGAGTCCCACACCAGTTGCGGCTCCAGTGGCTGCTGCTGCGGCAGCAGCTCCAGTGAAAGCACCTTCTGCGTCTCCAGCGACCTTGTCAGAGATTCCTGGGGCAACGGTGGTGCCGTTTACGACAATGCAGGCTGCCGTCTCAAAGAATATGGTGGAGAGTCTCACGGTGCCAACTTTCCGGGTTGGATATCCTATCAATACGGATGCTCTTGATGCCCTATATGAGAAGGTACATTACGGGATTTTCTTATTTTGAATTGGTTTTTGTTATTTTTCAGTAAATTGTGGTGAAACTCAAGAGCTTGTTGGGTTTGTGGTAATTAGAATTCTGGGATTTGAGAAAGATTTAAATTTTATTAATATCAGGTTAAGAAAAAGGGCGTTACTATGACTGCATTGCTGGCTAAAGCTGCGGCAATGGCATTGGTCCAGCATCCGGTTGTGAATTCTACTTGTAAAGACGGGAAGAGTTTTACATACAATAGTAATATAAACATCGCAGTTGCTGTTGCAATTAATGGTGGATTGATCACCCCTGTTCTGCAAGATGCTGACAAGGTACTGATAATAAGACGGTTACCAATGCTATCGTTGTTCTGATTAGTTATAAGCATTCAGCTGGAAGAAATGTTGAATAATTCATGAAGCTGCTAGTTAAAATGATTTAGCTGTGATGATGTAGTTGGATCTTTACTTGTTATCACAAAAGTGGAAGGAATTGGTAGAGAAGGCTAGAGCTAAGCAGCTTCAGCCACAAGAATATAATTCAGGTATTTTTAACTTCAGTGTTGTGGTTTTTCAAATGCTCTATTGGGGATTCTGATAAATTGGGTTGATTGCTTTTGAGTATAGGGACTTTCACACTGTCGAATTTGGGCATGTTTGGAGTGGATCGATTTGATGCTATTCTTCCTCCAGGACAGGTTAGCTATCAAATCTAGCCGTTTTGTTCTCGTCTAACGTTATTTGTATAATGCAAAACCTATTACCATTACCCTTGTTTGTAAATGTTTAGGGTGCTATTATGGCTGTTGGTGCATCAAAGCCTACTGTTGTAGCTGATGCAGATGGATTCTTCAGTGTCAAAAATAAGATGCAAGTGAGTTTGATTGATTGTTCTTTGTTACTTCTATTTTGTTCTTTATTTATGGAGTTGCTAGCATGTATATGTGCTGCTATAGATTTGATATCTTTTGACAGAGGGTCTACTAATTTGAGTCCTTGTGACACTATTGCTTTTGTTCGTTGAAGTTTCTCCCAGAGTTGGCAATATGTCCATTTCTATTAGGTTCACGTGGTCCTTTAGGATTCACGGATTTCTGTGTTACATATAGTTGCTATGTTGCAGTAGGGATCTGTTTTACTTGAGATGAAACTTTAAATGCTGTTTGTGTGTTTAACAAGCTTTAGACAAGAAGCTAACAATAAGGATATTGGTCTGGCTAAATGAGACTTGTTTGATGCCTTTCAAGTCCATGTTTATTCAGCCTTCAGTTTTCTATTAAATCTCATATGGGATTCATTTCCAACTTTTTGCAAACTTTGTATAATATCAAGCAGACAACCAAAATTTGGAATCCAGATGAAATTGCCAATTACCATTTCCTCTTCTCGTAGATACTGTGATATCTATTATATGTCAAAGAAAGTGCACCTCTGGTTATGGTATCATTTGCAGAATATTCATTGCCTACCTAGATAGAGATAACCATTATTTTGGAGTTTCACGTTCAATGGTCTTCAGTCAATTCTCTTTGCAGTCCAGTTCTCTCAGTATATTGACTTTGTAGAGATAAAGCAAGTTTCACACCCATTAGAGGTGCAGGTCATTCTTTGTTGATGATGCAAATATTAAACCAGCAAAATTTAGCAGCTTCCCAACTTAGCAGTAAATCAGACCAGCTAAATGTCTTGACATTTTGTGTTCCCTAAGGTTGGTAGTAACTAGCTTTGTCAAGGTGCTAGGAAATTTGAAATCCTTATAGCAGGATTCTAAAGGGAGGCATCACTTTTTCAATAGCAACACTTCTAGTGCAATTCAATTATCTCTTGTAGTGTAATACATTGATAGGCTTTGGCAAGATAAGGTAAATCTTATGGTTCGGCCAGAAAAAAAAAATTTTCATGGAGATTAGAAATAGTATTATGCTTCTATTGTGCATTGTTGAGTTGGGTGACGACAAATTAGTGGGTATCAGAACAGCTGCCATACTGACTGCATGACCTAAAACTTGTCTTTTGGGCTAAATGTCTATTTTCTTTCTTCATGTGCTCAAGCCTTGAACTGAGCTTGTAAAGCTCCGCTGATGTATAGGAGCAGCTAGCTGCTCAAATAAGTGAAAAGTCTAGGGAGAGTTGACTGAGAACACAGCTGCTGGGAGACTTTACAAAGATCATTACCTGATACATTTCTTTAACTGCTTTGCACATTCATCATTTGGTTTGTGTCGAATCTTTATGCTTTTAAAATTTGGTTGACCATCTTGGGTTGGAAAGCTGCAGAGTGATCTTCTACGGTCCTTAGCTATGGACCTAATTTGCTAGTTATACTCAATTATTTTAAAATTCTTTTTCTCTTCCTGTTACAACGATGGAACCTAGCTGAATAAATAGCATCTCACTTTCTGAAAGAATTTCCGTGAGTGCCTGTTGACTGGAATGGTTTCCAAACATTTTCCAGGTCAATGTTACAGCTGATCATCGAATCATCTATGGTGCTGATTTGGCTGCTTTTCTTCAGACCTTCTCAAAGATTATTGAGAACCCTGATAGCTTGACACTGTAGATTAACGACATGTTTATGAGGGTAGCTGAAGGATGCTGCTTTGGAGTCTCGATAGTTTCTGGCGACATTTTTGCATGTTGTTGTTCATTTGTTTCTATTTTGGCAAGAGAGACCGGTGAATCCAATAGGACAATTTTTTGAAAACAAGCAATTATGTTACAATTTGTTGAGACTCGTTGGTATAATAACATTTAGTGTTACTATTTTTTCCCCCTGTCCTTCTTGACTCTTCGCATCTATTATGGAGGATCATATGGCAACCCTAATGCAAGAAAATTTGCATGTATGATGACGATCAGTTGAATTACTGCTTAATTATGGTATTAAACGTTTAGTCGGATGCACGATGATAAGTTTACAAGAAATCCCTCCTGTGAGGAGTGGTGGTTTGTGCAGAGATTTGGGTGCGCGGTTGCTGGCGCTTTAAATTAGTGATATTTAACTTTATTGCATTAATGTTACTACACATCTTTACCAACCCAGGCCAGTGAACCGTGCGTATGGAATTGGGGCATTATGGACTGTAGAAGCATGTTTTCGTTCTGTGGATTTCCTTGCAGCTTCTCGCAAAGACATTTTTGCATTCCTGCAGTCTTGCTTTAGTTTCTGTAGTGCGCCGAGCTTAATGAATTTACCAGTCAGGGAGGAGTAGTATCAGAAATTGGCATTTGTGAGGGCATTCACCAAGACCTCAAAAAGGCGGCAGGAAAAAAAAATAATGGGACCTCAGATGAAGTTCATCAGCTCTGCAAAATGGTCCTTCAACCTTGCCCTTATCATTAGAGATACCACATGAACTGTCATCACTGGGATCATCCTGTGCTGAGACAACTGGGCTTGACCCCTTGAAAAGTAGGATTCAATGATTTGGCTAATTTCTTCTTTGTTAAAGTCATAATTACCATGTACATTTGCCTAGATATCTACAAAATCAATGTTGTTACAATAACAGTAACAATATATGTCAAAATTAGAAAAAAAAATGTCGGTCTCAAAATTTAAAGTTTGAACATGCAAGATATTTCTGCTCCTGCTATTCACTGTTTGGATTCTTTCGGCTTTACAGACGGTAGGAACTGATTCCTTTCAGCTTTTGAAGAAGGTGGGGAAGTATATAGATCTTTAATACTCGAAACTTCACTGTAAGAATCAAGTTCTCTTGCTTGACACTGCATAACTATATGTTAATCTTCTTGCTGCTCCTCAAATGAGTGGTCTGGTTCCCCGGGAAAAGAATCAAAGCTTACCAATCCAAGCTGATGTTTCTCGAGATGTACAACTTGTCAATGTATTCTATAACTGGATGTGAGCCATTGATGTATCTCCTCATTTCCCTCTCCGCTGATTCTTCTGCAAATTCAACATTAAGAAAACATTGTTCATTAAAATTTGATTTCTACTTACTAAAGCTTATAGTAGCAGTTTTTGAATCTGGCGCAGAGTGGACTTAAAAATCGTTTTACTTGGACAAGTTGATGTCTTTGGACGGTGCATAGTGAAAAAGAGAAAAAGCAGGAGTTCAGATGCCTGACCAAGCCACTATCAAAGACTACTCCTTGCATACTTCTTATGCAAGCTGTCGAGAAGAACTAATCATGGATTAATTTCCTCACAATGGGGATATGATTTCTTTCTACAACTATATCCCTTCTGCACTTTGTGTAATTCAGCCGAGTCGAGCCATATCAACTATTGACAGAACCAAGGACATCTTAACCATTATAAGTAGATGGGTAAAACCATGTAGGTAAGAAATGGCTACGAGTGTTTACATTGACTCGCTGTATTCGTTGGTTTTGACTCCTATACTTGAATAGATTGTATGTAATGCAAATTCATAATGCCTCTGATCCAACTTGATAAATACAGTTAATGTCTGCTTTTTTGGATGCCAGAAAGGTGTTAGAAATGTACTAGAAAAGCCACAAAATGTCTCACCAGTTTCATTTAGCCTCTCCAGAAGTTGCTCCCTCGTCGGCAGGGCACACATACCAGCTGAAACAGCAGTCCTGATTGCCCATGTGTGGTATGGTGCACAAACTTTTGTATAAGCTGTTTGAGCAGCTTCTTTCAGAGAACGTTCACTGGAGTTAAAAAGTAAAGTTGGCCATCAATTTAGGAGGCAACGAGGAACACAAATGCCAGGTTAGTTGCAGCAGTTATGACTAGAAGCATCAAAATGGTGGCTGAGAAAGATAGGGGCAGGAAAATCCTACTGCTAATCAGAATATGAACGCAATGCTGAACTTCAAAGAAAATCAACCAGATTTTCCAATGAGCCTTGTTGGTGTTCATAACAAACAACGGAATGTATAGTAACTTATGAATTAAGGAACAGTTATATCTCTTTTGCCCGCCACTAAGCAAATAAACACAGCCAAGAAATAGATGCTTTATAGTAACATGCAATACCATATCCTATTCTTTGCTGTAACTTTGAAACACAGATGAATGAAACAGTACAGTGATGAGGAACATCAACATCAACACTACATCTGAATTGGCTATGAACACCATTTAGTTATAGGGTCAACTTCTTGCTTATGAATATGTACAAGGAGGAAAGAAACATACTCGGCCGACAAAAAGTTTTGAAATAAAGCTCTAATGAGATCCAGGCCCTGCCTAACCCTGCGTAAGTTACGTGAGAGGCTCCCAGCTGATTTTACAGTGTCCATTTCAACGTCATAATCAAGTATGTTATTCAATGTGCCATAGTCCTCTGATGCATCCTCTAGATCCTGTACCTGGAGCAATGACAGCAATACATCCACTGAGAGGTGAAAAAGAACTACTGAAAACAGAATGAAGGTGTCATCATTAGGACCATACATGATACGTGCTTTTCTGAAAGAACATTTCATCTCCTGGCGGATGAGGCAACAGGTAAAGGAGGGGAGATTTCAGGCGTTAAAGTTCTGAGGCACAGAGCTAATGATAAAGAAACTGAATGGAGCTAGGTGAGGTAAAAAAAGATGCACAAAAGTTCTTCCCTAGTAGTATTAGTGAAGAGGCTACACGTTGCCCTCCATCTTTTGCACATCAACAACTTGATCAATTTGATTTCGTTATTATTACTGTTTACTAGTTTCCACCCACCATAGAAGAATAGAAGTCACTGCAATTAGGGGCTAAAAGGAGTCTTTGCTATTAAAAGTTCAGAAAAAAGCTGTGATTTTTGTGCTTGGCAATCATCCAAAAACCATAAGCCCTGCCATCTTCTAGAATCAGTCGTACCTCCTATGAGGGAAGCTTCCCTTGGTATAAGAAGAGTTACTCTCAAATAGGTGACAACCCAAGCAACCATGAGATTCCGCGCTTAAAGCATATTATCTGTAAATTCTCCTATTCAAATCTTTGGCATTGATCATGAAGCCCGAACGCAAGTTCACCCCATTGAAAACTATAGCAGGTGGCTCTTTCATTTCTTAGTCCTAAATGTATACTTTTTCGAGGAGAAAAGAAGAAAATAGAGCAAATACCATTCTGCAGTAATTGCTTATACAATTTTATTCTGGGATGGAAGCGTCAAAACAAGACCTTGTTCATTTGTTACATACACGAAACTGATCCAGCAATTTTTTTCTGTTCCTTCTGTTGACCAAATTAAACTAATTTGCCCCTCTTAATCCTAAATCTCTGCCTATGTAACAAATCATACTGGCAAGAGACATACCTGTGCTTGGATGACATACATATATAAGGCATTAAAGATTTCAGACATACAAATGTTATCCCTCCAAGCCAAAATCCATGCATAAAAGATGCTCAAAAAGTATATAATTTTAGAGAATCAGGCCCAATGGTAAAGGGTCTTTGTCCCTGGTTTTAGAATGAGTGTTCAATTCTTACCGTCTCTATTCCCTACTTCGTATTTCCTACTCTTCCCATTCTAAAAATAAAAAAGAAATAAAAACAAATAAACAGTGCTAACCTTGGACACGTACTCCATCTCCGCAAATTTGAAGGCAATTCCCAAGGAACCAAAGAGGACGGAAACAAGAGAACATGCATCACAAAAGGGCTTCAAATCAAGATCAAAATTAGGACCCCTTGACTTCAATAAACGAGAAAGTTCCTCAAAAGCATCTGCAATGGCAGATAAAGGAGTTCCCTCTGAATCCGAAACAGCATCCTCAAAAGCATCATCATCTTCCATTACACTGTTCCTTCTCGTTGTTGCACTGCTTGAACCTGTTCTTTCCTTAGTCCTTCAAAAACAAGAAAAAAAATCCCACATGTTTCAAACTTAATTATAAGATCCAATTAACCATCAGCACTTTCCTTTGTTTATAAACTAAAAATACCTAAACAAAATCAATATCAAGAAAAAGTTGTGGGGTGGAGTATAAAGCAAGAAACTGGTGATCATAATTAAGAGTTTGGCTTACTTTTGTCTGTAGTTTCGTTGTATTGTGTTAAGGAACGAAGGGAAGCGGGGGGCCATCGTTTCTTGGAGTCTGCTAAGATTGCGCTCTGTCTTACAAGAAACTCTACAAATCTATGCAGTTGTTTCTTCAGAAATTTGAAGGTAGTTAATACGAAGCCAAGAGAGTTTTCACTATTCTAAATTTGGCGCGTCATGGGTCGTTATTACCTTAACCGAACCTTTGAGAAAGGTTGCGCGTATTGACTGTTAGGTACATACCAAATAACAGAGAATCTGTTTCCTCCACAATTTAAAGTGTGACGATTGACAATGGAGCTTTCCGATTGATTGCGTGTATACTCCTTTTTTTTTTTCTTTTTTTTTGTGGGCAAAACTAGTTATAATTAGGGAAGTATGTGTTGGATTAATTGACGTGAGATGGAGAACAAAGCTGAAAATCCATAATCGTACACGTTTTTTTTATTCCTATTGTGCTAAACTTTTTTTTAACAGTATGCATTCCTTGTCATATTCTATATATATTCCTTTTGGAATAAAGTGCCAAAACGTTAAACTAATCCAATCAAAATACTCGTAAGGTGAAAAATAATTTTTACCCTTTTATTTTTTTTGCGTTATCTTCTCGTCAAGACGTTAAAATAATCCAATCAAAATACTCGTAAGGTAAAAAATAATTTTTACCCTTTTATTTTTTTTGTGTTATCTTCTCACTTCTCCCTACATTCTCATATGGAGTATCTTTTATCGGGCATAGAATTTGAACTCTAAATCTGATGAAGACAAAATAAATTATATCAAAAATTAAATTGCCCATGCTGCTAATTCTCTATTGCATCTTTTCTTTGAGATTTAAAAAGAAGAGGTAATTTGAGGAGAACTAATGAAATTGGATTAATTACTTTTATAAGTCCACCTTAAGTTAGTCTAGTCAAACCAAAATAGTTAATGTAAATGTGACATCATATGATGATGGGGGGCTAATTTTACGTTACGTGTGGGGCAATCCACACGCTAAACCCTCCTATAAGGTAAAGGTGTTCATCTCATGCAGGCCAGGATGAATCCAAATATGAGGAACCCGTAATCAAAACACGGTCCAACATATCATTAATTCTAACGTGTGAAGCCCAATCGCTTCTAAAACCTATTTAAGCATTGTGACTCACACAAAGTGCCACTCATTCCATGTATATCATTTTTTTTTTCCATGCGATTGCCATATTTGTTGATACTTGAAGGCCTAGAGGATGTCGTGGTGCAAGAATTACTTCCCAATTGATTCAGAAGACAAGTAGGGCTATTCAATGATAACGCTTAGGTATTTAAGATAAAAAGGAAAGGCCAGCTTTCCCCTGAATTGCTTTTGCCTTCTGCTTAAATTTTGCAAAATCTAAGCCCACATTGTTGAAAGAAAATTGAAAAATAGAATAAGCCCACCAGCAGATCTTCTATTTTCTGGGCCCTCCATATTGCCATTGGCAATTTTTTTTTTTTGGACCTTTTCTTTTTCTAAAAGTTTAAGCCTCTATCGCATATTGTCAAAGGCCCAAACATGTGCAAACTTTTCTTTCTTTCTTTCTTTAAAAAAAATAAAAAATAAAAAATTGAAACTTCTATGGAGAAAAAGAAAGAACTTTACTTGAACAGAGGAGGACACTTGCATGTTCTCATGTCAGCTACAACTATATGGAATTCATAGCACTCCTCCATAAATACTACTAAGCCTACAACAACTAAAAAGACATAGGCATGTAATATTGTATTGAAATCAGATTATAGTATCTAAACACGATTCCTCAGCTCGATCCCATCTTCTTCTGAGCAATCAACCTCCTGGGCATGCACCTGAATTGGCTTGAAAGTGTAGAATTTTGCACATACCAAGTAGTACACCAAGTTTGCAACTTGCAGCAATGTTATCAGCCAATAAAGGTACTCCAATTTTCCCCTGTTCAAATTGTTATCCGGAAGCCAATTTGATCCATCAGGGCCTGCACTGAACTTGTGAATAATTGACACCAAAAAGGTACTTGTATAACTCCCCATTGAGATTGCCAACCAGAAAAATGCAGTAGCGGTGCTCCTCATGCTCTCTGGAGCTTGATCATACAAGAACTCAAGGTGACCGATTGACATAAATGCTTCAGCCATCCCATGAAGGCAATACTGTGGAACTAGCCAAAACACTGAAATCGGGATCATTCCTTGAGGTTTGTCTTCTAATCCGTACGCGAAAGCTGCCCGTCTTCGCTTGACTTCAACAAATCCAGCAACGAATGTGGCTAGTATTGCAATGGCAAATCCAATTCCCATTCTGGTAAGGTATGTTATGCCACGTTCTAGCCCGGTGAAGCGACGAATTACTGGGACAAAAATGCGATCGTACACACCAATTGTGAGGAGCATACATGCTAAGGTGAAGACACTCATGGATGCTGCAGGGATTTGGAAGGTTTTTGTTAGGTGACGATTCATGGTTTTTGCTTGTGATAATGAAAATGTGTGTTGCTGAGCAGCTGCAGTGATGAGAAGGATTCCAGATGCCCATATTGGTCCCATTCGGATCACTGATTTTAGCTCCTCTACACGGTGAACTGTGTTCAGCCTCCACCAATTTGGTGCTTTGGGATCGTCTTCTTCTGTCACAATTGCTGCCTTGCTAAAAAACCTGATCACCAAAGAAAAGAAAATGTTTCTGTGAATTCTACATCTTAAGATTCAGAAATGCTAGCATTTTTCTACAATTGCAAAAAACTGAAAAATATTTTTTTTTAAAAAAAAAAAAAAAAAAAAAAGCTGAAAGCATGCATGATGGGAATTAGTAGACACTCTATAGACACATGTTGAGAATATAGCTTCACTAAATGAGTAACGCTATAAAATCTTGAATTATTGGGGCAGTGGTTAGTTTCCTTAGCAAAGGTTTGTCTTTACCATGTCCTTTAGTAAAGTTTATCTTCAAAGATGACCCTACTTAATAATTTTTTTATTCTTTTTAAAAAGATGGAAGTCTAAAATTGATGAACCTATTTCAGCTTATCTTTTAATTTCTTTTTCTTTTTTGTTTAACTTTGAAAATACACTTTTTTTTTTTGTAAAATAAAATTTGGATAGATTCGACTCTAATCATCATCACAAGTGAGGGCATGCTCTCAAAACCATAAGTACTCATAGGAATTTTTACAGATTGCTCACCAATACAATCCTCACATCAACAACAACTGGGGATAAAAATAGACTGTATCATAATTTACCAGTTAGGGATGAAAATATTCTTTAGAGAAATCACCTCCATTATATGATTATCAAGCTTAGAGCTGTCAATACCAAAAGGACGTCATGTGGATGGAAAAGGCCATTTGCAAAGTTCGCCATAAAAAATGACAGTAGGTGGAAAGATGTTCTTCCCCTTTGGCAGCAAATCGCGGCCGAAAGGTTATGAGGGCAGTTGCCGAGCATGTATAACTATTAGTCTATTATGTGATGTATAATACATTGCGGATTGAACCAAAAGATAAAATAAAATAACAAAGAGGGCACATGTGGAACAGTTGTTATCTACTAATAAATTTCTGGCTTCGGCTGAGTTCATTGGCAAACGGCAACCGACAGATGATTCAGGCTGAAGAACAAATTGACGAAACAATGCACCGAATAACATACAAAAATTTTCAGAAATGGCTGATCAAATGACACGCTTTCTATTGCAGGTTTTGATGGGCATTAACATAATCCTAATGAAGAAGAAGAGGTCACAATCAATTTGTCTGATAGCATAAAAGATAAGCATCTATTTTGCTTCCTAGAGTATCTTGGCTGTAGATTGCTTAAAAGCCATTAAGCTTTCATGTGGAACAAATCAATGATTGATTTATGTGAACCCAATAGTGTCATGTTGATAGCGATAAAGATAAGTCGCAACCACAATCTTTAATTAGTAGGCCTATACGCAACTTCTTGTACCAAAAACGACAATAAACACTAAGACATGAGGTCTGCATCATATTGCTGTAATCATCTTTTTGTTCTCATCTAGTGTAAGCAAAAGAACATATTTCAAACGTCCCAACGAAACTTTGACCTATTGTGCGTATTTGTGTGCAGCTGGAGAGGAAGTGTTTGGCCCATGGGAGAAATTATTCCACTGTGAGAAAATTAATTAATTTTTACCATTAGGAGATCCTGCAAGCGAACCAATGATCATTAGGGTCCTAGCTATAATTCTTGCAAGCACCATATATAGACTCTATGGAAGGAATGAAACTATGGTACCATCATGAGGATTTGCTATTCCATAATTTGGAATGGGAATATACTATTTTGACCCGTCTCTGCTAGCTCATTGAATTTCTGTCTAGTTATGCTTATGATGATACAGTATAAGCAAGAAAATGACCCTTGAACAAACTGTCTCTACCTAATATGCTTTTAATGAAAAGAAAAATACCGCTCCTAGGTATCTCTCTTTCATGGGTTCCCTTAGAGTTAAACATCCATGTAATCAATGAAAAACACATATAGAGAAGTGCAAATAAAAATGGTTTGTTGGTACAATAATGATGCATCAAATTAAAATACTATTCACATGTTTGTGTCTGCAGTATAAAATTGCCCCATGTTTCTGTTTGATGTGTGCACTTCCATCAATTACTGTCGAAGAAGATAGGCATCGCCAAAAAAAAAAGGTTCAAACACCAAAAAACCTGTCTAGCCCCTTGTATGTTCATTAATTGATGCTTTCCCTAAAAATTATGGCTAAATAACCGAAATTTCAATCACATAAAAGACAGAGGAACTAAATTAAGGGGACTTACTTCATGTGTTTAGTATGCATAAGCCTTCCACCAAGAGATATTCCAGCATCAAGATCTTGATTTTCATATAGCAATGTGGGATCAGAGGGCATAGAAAGATTTCTTTTCCTGTAGGCAGCCACACAGACTTGTACTAGTCTTGTGAAAGGGCTACCGGCTGGGTCCAAGTTTCTGTACAAAGGGTAGCCAAATATGAAGGCAATAATTGAGAGGGCCATTGCAACTGTCGGTATTCCGAGGCCCCATCCCCAGCTAATATAATCTTGGATGTAAACAACTACTGTTACTGCAACAAGCATAGATGCCCCCATGCAGAAATAGTACCAATTGAAGAACTTCCATGTCTTGGTTTTTTGCTCTGG